TTATTTAAATGAAGAATGTTTGAGTGAAAACGAATACTATAAAAAAAATAATGAAAAAAAAAAGGAAAAAAAAAGGCTCAAACAGATGCTAAAAGTATGTTTAGTTACAAGTTAATTTTGAAAAAATGAGTTTAAAAAATTTGTACGCTGAATTAGTACTTTGTCAGTGGGTAATGGAGATTGATGCGATGTTCTATGAATTTATAAGTGAAACTGATGCAAATGGTTCAAAACTTTGCTCAAACTACGTGTTTTTATCCAAAACTTTCGATCGTAGTGTAAATGGACATAAACTTTTTTCATTTTTGTCGCAATGTGGGTGCAATGCAATTGTCCTCTTTTTTTCTTTTTTTTTTTACACTTTGGATTATCTGACTTCACCTCCTCCTCTCACATGGAAGTCGGACTCCCACGTCGTGGCCCCCATGTGGGACCCGACCCCATGTGAGAGGAGTGGAGTCAGGTAAATCAAAGTGTAAGCCAACAAGTACAAATAACTTAATTTATAGTAGTGATTGAGGGTCATCAAAGTTAAGCTCATGTTTGGTGGGCATTTATTTGAAAAAAATAAATAAATTTGTTATAAATTGTATTTTCTACAAAATGTGTGGTTAAAAAATAGAAAAAAATTTGAAATTTATGTGAATATTTTAGGATATTGTTATTTTACATTCACAGTTTTTATATATACATCCACTTTTAAAAAGATAATTTTATTAAAATTAAATAAAAGTATATCGTTCTAAATTCATCCACAAATGTTTGTTTTCATAAATTCTTTTAAACCTTTTTATATTTTTTTAGAGTGTGTATTTAACTAAAATTCTAATAATCATATATAAAATATCATCTTTAACTAAAATCATAAAATCTTAATCACAAAATATCACCTTCAATGGATATATATATATATATATATAAAAATTTTTTTATTCATTTTATTACCCCCAATTCATTAAAGTGAGACAACAATATAGCAATTGAATTTTTAATTAACTTAAATATTTTTAAAAGTTAAATTATAAAATATATTTGGTAAACTAAAATTTATATTGTTTATCATATTCTTTAGATAATTTTAATTGTCATCCTCTATTAGAATTAATGAAATTTAGTGGAGTTTTCCATTTCAAGTATTGAATTCTTTAAAAAAGGGGGGTTAAACGAGATCGGGTGGACAGGGCTCTTATAACCCTATGTGCGAAATCCCCCTCCTTGCCCCCGACCAGAATACCCAATTAAGCGAAGAACAGGGCAAGGCTCACGGACATCGATTTTGAAGAGTTATTTTGACATCCTTATTATTAGAGTTATATTCTTTCATGATATGGAAGCCCGGATTTTACTTTTTATGTTTTTTTAAGTATTGATTTGTAAGATGAAAGTATACAAAAAAATTTAAAGTAAGTTTCAATTCCTGTCTAAATATTCTTACATTATAAAAGAAAACAAACTTAAGTTATCAATTGAAATACCAAAAGCCAAAATTATGATCATATACCAGAATACCCAATTAAGCGAAAAACAGGGCAAGGCTCATGGACATCGATTTTGAAGAGTTATTTTGACATCCTTATTATTACAGTTATATTCTTTCATGATATGGAAGCCCGGATTTTAAGTTTTATATTTTTTTAAGTATTGATTTGTAAGATGAAAGTATACAAAAAAATTTAAAGTAAGTTTCAATTCCTGTCCAAATATTCTTACATTATAAAAGAAAACAAACTTAAGTTATCAATTGAAATACCAAAAGCCAAAATTATGATCATATAATAATAATAATAATAATATGATTCGACGAGAAATTTGTTTGACTGGGTGCAGCATATTCTTGAAAGAAATCTATAAATTTAAGAAAAGAGATTTGTTTATATTTATAACTAAATATTAAAGCACTAACATGACAATATAGAAAATAAAAAGTAAGAATAAAATTAAATGTTGATAGTCCCTAGACAAATATAGTGATTTTCGAAGTTGTATTAGATATGCATTTATGGTGTGCTGAATATATAATTTTTTGTGGATATATAATGTTTAAATGAATGAATTTAATAATGACAATATTGAAATTTGATGTGTATGAAAATAATATTTTTAAAAATATTTTGATGGGGATGTATATAAACTAGAATGTATATATAAATATTGTAGATAAAAATAACGTACACATTTTTTATTGTGCGTGAACATGTAATTAAAAATAAATATGTAAATTTTTATTTATTTATTTATTTGTGGGAGAGAATGAGAGATGAGCATGAGCTAAGTTGTAAATTCGTGTCAGATCTTTAAATTAATATTTTTTATTGGGCTATGGGAAATTGGAAAGAGATTTGGTGAACACAAGAAATTGACTAGTCTCCTCAAAAGATGTTCACTTGAACTTTATGACTTATTTTTGAAATATTTTACTTCCTCCTCAAAAGACGTTCCATTGAATTCTTTGAAATTTTTGAAATATTTTAGTTCTTTTTAATTTTCTTAATCAGATTTTTAGGGATAAAAAAGGAGCTGGTTAGAGACGTTTTTTTGAGTCAAAAAATGATTTTTTCTTTTTCTTTTTCCGAAGGATTCGTGATTAAAATATGAAAAAAAAATATGAATTCCATAAAAAATTGTTGGGCACAAAATCTGCCCGATCAAATGATTAATAGAATTTCAATTAAGCATTACAGGCACACTAAAAAACATGGTTAAGATGCAAATATCGATGTCCAAAAAAAAAAAGAAAAAATAAAAATTTAGTGATTGCACATCAACAATTAGAAGAAGAATAGAAAGAGTAGCCACTGGGCTATGGGTTATGAATAGGGGTGATGTTATCTCACGTCTTGCTGACAGCTGCAGTGTAGATATTCGATTTCTGAGACATGAAATTAGACTCTTTGTAAATGTAGTGTATATACAATTCTTGTTCCCTGATCTGATGGAATACATCTCACGATTTACCTCTTTCACAAAACTCTAGAGACGGGAAGGTGAGGTTTTCAAGGTTGGAGTTAAACCTTTTATTAGATCGAAAGAGCCCCGTAAAATAATAAAATAACATTACGTTATGTCGAACTCCATACTCTATAGCATGATTGTAAATAAAAACTATGCGGGCAAAGAAATTGAGGCTCAGATCTTTGGTCCTATAATCGGACAAGGAGAATATAACCACGCCATGGCTGCAAAATCCCCGGTCGCCTGAGAAGATTTCAAAATCACAGGCCATCCGGGGTGCCCTGCCAAGATACGGGTAAGTTCATCTCAATGCCCAATTCATCATCTCAGAAGAATCAAGAATAATCGTCACAGCCCCTATGCATAATTCTGCAGACGTGCTCGTGTTCATTGGTTTTTGCAGAGGAATCGATTCCATCAAGATTAAAAGGTCATCGAACAACATTAATTTCCGTTTCTTGTTTCTCAAGGGCTGTTGATTTTGCAACAGTTTATGGGGGAAATCATTGGTTTAACAGAGAGAGACAACCACCCTTTAAGAATTCTCAATATCTGTTAACCTCATTCTTCCCTTCTGAGCTGAATTACCTTAATCTAGCTTTGGGTCTTCACTTACAGTACCCAAGTGTTCCATTAAGTGGAATTTTGCTTTAAACTTCAGTGACCATTAGTGAAATTATCCCTGCTGACTTAATCTCGTTACAATCATCCATCGATCTGCCTCATTCTTGAGTTAGAATTTTTCTTAGGAAAACGAGGATCATGATGCTTACAAGTAAATAATGTAAGCCTATCTTTGTCTGGCTCACGTGTATAGATAAACACTTTTTTATCCAGAAGGCTCAGATCTGCAAATAAAACAGGCAAAGAGAGTGAAACACCGCCATGGCTGCAGAAACCCAGTTGCATACACAAGAGAAGAAAGAGCTCTTCTCCAGATGCCATCCGGGTTCGCCCCGCCAAGATACGGGCCAGATTTCCCCATGCCCGACCCAACTCAAAAACAATAATCATCATAGCCAAAAACGTAGTAGCTGCAGCAAGAATCCCGAAACTGAGCCTCGCTTTTAAGAGGCAAAACAAGAAGATAGGATACCATTGGATGAAACTTGCAAACAAGTTCATTTCATGGAGCAGCAGTTTTCAAGAGAACATATACATTGCAGCCTGCGAGGGCTGTTGGTTTTTGTGGTATGAAGAAATCATTGGCAAGTAGAGAGGGGCAACCACCCTTAAGAACTTCCCATCTCTCTGTTTCACCTCCGTTCTGGAGTTGGGATTTTTGCAAGGAACTAGTATTTGTTGAAGAAAGACCTGGACTTATAGGGCAGACGCGGCAGAGGGAGAAGGACAATTTTGACATTTTAGATATAGAGGTACTGTGTTGAAAATGTACCAACAATCCAACATAGACGATAGTTGAACAATCCCTTGATTTACTTCTGTCACGATGCTCTACAAACCGATCGTGTTAACCCTCAAGGTAGTAGGTGAACACTATTGGAAGTACAATGTGAATAATGCTCCTCAAACGGGATTTAAAAATAGAGGCGGAATTTATATTTATATTTATTTTTATTTTTCCTTTTCTCTTCTCTAGCCGTTCAATGATATATCACGTGTTCCCCTATTTTTAAGCTGTCAAGGCAACAAAACTTGTACATTAATATTATAGATGTTTATTAAGCTGTAATCATTAATCATTCTTTTAGAGCTTTTCTTTTTTCTTTTTTTTGTCTTGTACTCATTTTTAATTACATTCTCACAATAAACTCCTATTTTGACATAATTTTCTTTTAAAAGAATGAATTTCTGAATAGTAAATTTTGAGGAACTGCATGATCAAAAAAGTAAAGAAAATTTTTAGATTTACGTAAAAATATTTTATTATGAGAATATGTAATTAAAAATGAGTACAATAAAAATAGAATTAGAAAGAATGATTGTCAGACAAGGGCTAAAATATTTTTTACATAAATTTAAAACTTTTTTCCTACTTTTTAACAATATATACTCCAAAAATATATATATATATATTTCAAAAACTCTTTCTTCCCAGAAAATGACCGTCATACGAGGTCTAGATGAACTATATTATAAACTAGATAATTTGCCTATCCCTTGCACAATTGCAAGCCTGAAAGGCTGCTCCAAAACCCTGAAATGCATATATTACATTTGAAGAATAACATGAACGACGACTCACAAACTGGTGCGTTGAAGTTTAGGAGGTTCTGAGGTGAATTGGAGTGTTTCCACTGCTTCAAAAAGTTGGTAAATTGTCAGTTTAAGGCTATCTGAATCTGAATATGTTCTGGTTTTCAACTTCTTTATTTCCGACTTTAGATGTCGCTTTTTCTATAAAATTCAAAGAACCTTCGTAAAGTATTCAAGTCTTCACTACTTCACTTCTTCGTTCCATTTCAATCATGTGTAGAACGCCCTTCATCCACGACCAGATAAATATGTTGCCGAAGAACAAGCTCTCTTTATAAATTACATGACCTCCTTGCCCATTTGTTGCAGCGCTGAACTCTGAACCACCTCCCCTGTCAACTTAACTAAATATGTGACCTGTCACAGAACAACAATTTAGTCGTTCCTACAATTCTTTAAGAATAATGCTATGTAGCCCCAATGGGGTTATAACCCCATTCTCTAGGTGGCGTTAGATGATAGATTGTATGAAATGTGAAATTAAATGACTTTTTTAATACCACCTATCATTTAATATTACATTAACGTCACCTAAATTGAGATTGTAACCCAAGTGAGACTAAATAACATTACTCATTATTTAATGTTTCACATCCCAAATAGACTGCAACAAACATGCATGTGTTTGAAGACGATTTGGTACTCACAATTTCCAGTGGACTAACCCGATGAAGAAGGAATCCATTTACCATTTCCCTGGAAGAATCAAAACACATATAGATATCAGTATAACACCAAATCATCTAATTGTATAGAGTTTTGTCCCAGAAGACAAGAATTTAAGAACGTTAACACTCACTTTTGTTGGACTATATTTTGATTTACAGTACCGGCACGCCAGCTCCAATATGCATTCTTTAGAGATAAAAAAACATGAGCGAATCTTATATCACTTTTAGTTTTAAGAATTTCTAAGTTGAGAAAAGGAGAATGAGTACCAATACAGATTTCTGAAACCATTATGTAGAGCGGGAACTCAAATGATTTGTAAGGGAGGAAATAAAGAGGATGAAAACCTGTTTCTTACCACTCCATAGTTAAGTAATATACTATATAATCGCTCAAAAATTGGTTCCCTTTTCTGTACATTATCTTCAGAGGTGACCAAGTGATGGAATCCAAAGACAATTTTCCTGCCTCATTAGAGAGGAAGAGAAGAAATAAATAATTAAGATAATAAGTGCTTGGTGAATGAGAAATATGAATCTCTAGTTTGGAAGGCTTACCAGTTGCTACTGCTTTCTTTGAGGGTCGTCGTTAACCACTGAAGCTGCTCGTTTTCAGGGACACTCGAAGAATTCTAAAAATTATCAAGTCAATAGAGTCTTAGAAAACTATATATTACCATATGAAGGAATATAAGAACCTGTGCATCAGTTTCCTTCTATGTCAAGAACGAGAGACATTTGGCAACGAAATAACATCTCAAATTTTTAGCTTTCTTATTTTTGCAATTGGTTCAACTTATTTCCGCAAATTATTAGAGATTTCAATTTCTACACAGACGTTACCATGCCAATGTATTAAAATGAAATTTGACTTAACAACACGGGTGATCAGCAGAAATACTTCCACAAGGAAGAAGGAATAAAAATCCATTGAAATGGAATTCACACCTGGAGTAGCCCAGTGTTCAAGGCTATAATATCCAGTGTTTGTCCATACGGAATTTCGATCTTCTTGAGGAAATAATTTGCTCCTCCTCCTCCTTTCAATGCTCCAGTAGTGTACCTAATAGTTGTGATAGACGAAAAGAAATTGGAAATTTTGATTTAAAATATGAGAAGTATATAACAAAAAATTAGCACCTAAACTACTTGAAGGGGAAAGAATACCACGGTATTTTCTGCAACTCAGGGTACTGCGTAGCCTGTTAAAAAATGAAGTTTTAGTTCGATGAATTAAAAGTTCAACCATGCGGTAATCTTCAATAAACTTCGACTGAAATGAAATCTGTGTAAATGAATCAGTAACATGCCATTTGCAAACCAAAGTCACCATACAGATCTTACATTCTGAAGGAGTGGATCAGATTCCCCAAGTTCACTGATGGTGACTATAAACCGAGCCCTGTAGGATTTCACCACCTTCTCCATCTTCATTACCATCAAAATTACAGTCAAAAGGGATCACAAGAAAATTACAGAGAACAGATACAACCAAATATATCCAGAGGAGTCAACATAGCTTGAAAATCCAAACCAATAATTAAAATTGATAGATGCTAAAATTAAAATTGCAGAGAACAGATAAAACCAAATATATAACATAGCTTGAAAATTCAAACTAAATTCTATGGAGAACACTTTCATATAGTATCAGCAGTAAAAACTGTAATATCAATATCTTGATTATTGTAATCAACCAATGAAATTTGTATGCATTTATCGATTTAAGATCCTTTTTTGCTTATCAAGATCATATGAAAATTGCAGCGTGGTTAAAACTACAGAAGAATAAACAATCAACCAGGGAAATCTCATCACACAAAACAAAAATTCAAACCCAGTCGCAGAAGAAAAAAAACCAATTTTGTACCCATTAGTAAGATTACAAATCTCACCTGTTTAAGTAAAAGGGTCTGTTCTTCAAGTGGCCTAAATCCTCCATCAACACTAACGAAGAACACATCAATGACCCTGCCTTCATTTTTACTACGCTTCTGGGACTCACCTATATTAAGAGCAATGAAAAGTGCAATGCAGAGAATGAGCTGTGTGAAAACAGTACAAACCCATGATTTTTCCTTCATTTCAACTCCCTCTCTGTATTTCTCCAGCCGATTGCGGATGGGATTAAGCTGATAGATCCGATGAGTGCTCTATTACAATTAGTAAAACCTTACAAAGAGTCTGTACTAACTGTCAGAGTGCACATGATGAACGTAGGGTCGATTCCTTTTTGTTGCTTCATTTCATTATTGTTTTAATTATGATTGAAATGAAGAAACGTAAGGTTATTGCTGATTTGTCTTCAAGCTGGATATTATTGAGAAGCCACCATTCTTATATAATTATTGTAATCTCAATTCATCCCAAATAATGTTTTAACATTTTTATATATTTATCGACTTAATATTTCAAGATTAACTTAATTAAATTCAATTATCTAAACACCATATATATCCATACCACTTTAATATATCAATCCCTTACAATTTTAAAATGTTATCCAATGAAACCTGCCAGCAAATGGGATCTTTGAAAAGTAATAAATTTGATGAGTTAAGAGTATTATTCAATAGATTGTAAATTTTAATTCAAATTTACTAACTTTGTGTGGAATTCGAATTATGTGACGCAAAAGAGATTTGATTTGTAATTATCTAAATTATGCTAACATATATGAAAAAAGTGTGTTTGTATCACATTATGGATGGTTGTATTGGATTCCGAATCCGCCTATTGATGTCTATTTCAATTTTTAGTTCCTTCATACATTCTTGATAATCGATAAAACCAATATATTTAACTTTCTTTTTCAAGATAAATTAAATATATTCTAATCATAATCCGAGTCATTCGTAATACGAATTTGAGTGACTAGAACGCAATAAATTTTCGATTATCTATATAATTGTACACGCGATTTTGTTATTCCTAACATCTATTGACCGAGTGTAAATCTTGCTATATTTTGAACTTATTGTGAATTTTCTAACACTACAACAAGTAATAAATTATCTAAATGGTGTTCAAACATTTAAATAATGCAATGAAAATGTAAAATTAATCAAGAAATATTGAGCTAATAGTCTTGAATAAGATAAATAAATAATAGGGTTCATCTTCATCCAATACAAAAATGGATCTAACCAAGCATGCTTTTATATAAATCTCAAGAAAGATAATAGAAAATTACCATCGAGATCATGAGATTCTGATATTCTCTTTCAAAATATAGTAATTTGTCTTTGTTCTTGATAAATTTGATGATATAATTGTGCATTAAGAGACTCAAGAGAGATTTCCAATGTTTTGCTCAAGTTTTATATTTATATGAATTGAAATTAGGTAAAATCGTGTTACAATTTCAATCCAAGAAGAATTTTAGGACAAGAAAATATATTTTCATATAGTGATTTTTTGGAGAATGTGTGGTTAGCAAAAAAAATAAAAATTGATTTACATTTAAAATTATTTTATTGGAGAATGTGTGATTGCAAATGAGTTTTGAAAAAATAGGCTCAAAGAAGGGCTAAAATTCATCGTGATAAACCCGGTGTTAATGAAATTGTTACTTAGATGAAATCGTTCCTTCAACATAAATTGCACAATCCTAAATAACATTTTCTTCTTTCATTTAAGTTTAAAAGTTCAAACTTTAGTCCCAAATCAAACTTAACAGCTTATGAATCCCAACCATGTCCATTCCAATCAAAGGGAATTCAAACTTAATGTTGTGCATAATCTCTATTTTGCTTTGGTGACATAAAAAGTTTATCTTGGGCAGATGTCGAATTTCTTAGCAAGTTAGTAGGTTAAATCTCGAGTTTGTTTAGCAAATCTAGAATTTGGTCTAGCACAAATCATCTCGCTAATTTTTTTGTCAATTATCCTACTTCATAGTAAATTATGATTATGCCTTTGTCATCTAGCAATATGACTTTTTTGGTAGAACAAATTGTAGCGATCTTTATCATCTAGCAAATCTATGATTATGCCTTTGTTGAACTTCGTAGAAATTGGATTATGATTATGCATTTTCTTTACTATTTGCCTAAGTGATAATGGTGGATTTTGGACACTATTATTTAAGATAGAT